TTGTTCGAGGCCTCCTGAGGGCCTTGGGGTGCACGAGTACGTTGGATGTGGGCTCACGGGTCGCAAACATTCGCAAGGGGTGTGCCACAATGCAGTTCCGTTGAGCCTTGTTGGGCGCCAAGTGAGCGCTTGTGGATGTCCAGAAGGGGAACCCCATACGGGCGGAGGTGGAGCGGAAGGACGAGGAGGAAGAGAAGTAAACGCAGGAGGGTGAGACCAATGGAGAAAAGGAAAGCGAGCAAGGGAAAGAGGAAAGGGACGGCACACTTCCGTGAAACAGGGGGGGGATGCGGGTTAAATTGAAGCGGCGGGGGGAAGGGGGGAGAGGTGGTGGATGGGGGTGTGTGGAGGGGGAGGGAAGGGGAGGTTGGAGGGGGGGGGTCAAGCTAGGTGCGCTTGCGTCATATCTGACGTCCTACGTCTCCTTTCCATCCCTTACCATGGCGTATATATCCTTTCTATTCGCACAGTCGGATGTCGAGCAGAGCAATGATCCTGAGAGGGCGCGCGATGCACCGTAGAGCACGGCATAGCAGGGCGTAGAAGATCGCGGCAAGGCGTCGAATGTCATAGCGTGGCGTGGCGTTGCCTACTGAAAAATTGCATCGCAAAACGTTGCAACGCAAAGACAGCAGCGCAGACCAGAATATGGCATAGCATGGCTTTGAAGATCAAGGCGTAGCATGGCATCGCATGGCGTGGCACCGCGTAGTTAATCACTGCATGTCCTAGCATTGCAGATGAAGGCATGGCATCGCACAGCGGAATACCACACAGCATTGCATTGCATGCCGTGGCATTACACTGAAATAATGACGCCAGCGCCGCAGCGGGAGCACGATTCGGAACAAGCGTAAGCACGGAAATGAGGCCAGCGTTGCAGCGCGAGCACGACTCGGAACGGGCAGAAACGCGGAAATGAGGCTAGCGCTGCATTGGGAGCACGATTCGGAACGAGCGGAAGCCCGAAAATGGGGCCAGCGCATCAGCGGGAGCAGCATTATGAAACAAACCAAGCGAAAATCCAACTCCCGGGAATCTTGCGTGTAAAAAACACAGTGCGCGGAGGGTGGCCGAACATCTTCCAGGCGTCATCAGGGGAGGGAGGAGGGTAGAATTCATATTTGTGGAAGGTGGGTGGAGATGGTGGTGGAGGGGGGCGTGGAAGGGGGGTGGAGGGGAGGTGGATGGGAGTGGTGGAGGGGGGTGGTGGAGTGGAAAGAGGGTTGGAGGGGTTCGTGGAGGGGGGGCCAGACTCCAGGGGATAGGGTAGGGAAAGGGGTTTGATTAGGAAGCTGGAAGAGGAAACGCCCTAAATCACCTACGCCCGGAGGGCTGGTGGCATTTCGGGTTGGGGGGCGTACGGGTTCCATCGTTTTTCCTCCGTGTTCTGGAGTGCCCCCCCACCCCCCGCAGGAAATGGACTAGCCCAACGGTGATTTCGGGTTGGGTTGGGGTGGCTTGGTAGGTAGTTGGTCAGTTCGTTGAAATAACATCCAGTTCGAGGTCGGCAGGGCCTCGGTGGTTTCTTTAGGTTTGCATGCGTTCCGTTGCCTGGTTGGTGGCGAGCCCTTTTCGGATTTCACGGCCGTTCCTTCGGATCTCTGGGCTAGACTGGGAATCTAGTGCCCCGTATTACAGCAGCCTGATTGTAATTGTTTTTGTTCGGCTGAAATCCCTGCGTTTTTTCCTGCATCTCGGTCACTGCGGGCCGATGTTCGTCGTGAGTGAGTAGGGACTTTGGATTACCGCACGGTTTCGGGACTTAGGTCGTTCTCCGAGGACCTCTCGGGCGTTCGGGGCATCCAGCGTCCCAAAACGGTGCGGTCACGAACCGCGCGGTGAGGTCCTTGGGGATATCGAGGTTACGGCATGGCCTGTCACCGTACGGTCTGTCGCCGCACCATTTTGGGACCCAAGGTTTCCCGGCGGCGAGCGAGGGGCGGAAGTGAGAAGGAGAAGGCCAGCTCAGAAGGTGGCGGGGCTTCTCAGATGGCCTCTGGCCTTCTGAGAAGTGTTATGTTTATTCGGGGCAGGTTCAGCATATTTTTCAGAAGGCTGGGGGACTTCCGAGCCTTCTGAGAAGGCCCGCCTCTTCTCACTTCCCCCAGGGCTCGCCGCCAAGTTTCGGGCCCCCAGGGCGATCAAACGTCTGGCGCGACGCGCTAGCTAAGTCGTGGGCCACCACGCTGAGCCAAAACGCAGCGTGTGAGCACGGACGTTTTGAACACGGCAAGTGTCGCGTTTCAAAACGGGCGTATCAGCTTAGACCCCCGACGTCATGATTTTTTTTTATAGCACGGCCTGAGCTGGAGAACTGATTCCTCGGGAGGTTCTTCGGGGCCTGCAGGGCCTACGGATTTAAAGAGCAGCAGGGCGCCGGAGGCTCTGGAGAGCAGGACGGCCGCGCTCGCGCCACACGGGGGGGGGCGCAGCGTCCCATCCGGAAGTGGACGACCAAACACATGCGGTCGGTCGGACTCAGGCATAAGATCGAGGTCGCTTCGGGGAGGGTACCCCATGGTTCTTCGTGCTTGGTGGATGTTCCTGTGCATCCTGGGGAGGGCACCCTCGAGTGTTCTTCGGTTTTGGCCGGCGGAGGGTCTTATGCTCTTGAAGGATGGTTTTCTGCCCTAGGTCCGACCGTATTCTAGACGCTTCGAGTATACCCACCAGCCCATCCAGAAACGATGCCCAGACGAGTTGCTGTGATCAGGGATGTGGAGGAGCATGCAGTGTACCCCAAGAAGGGGAGAATGGAGGAGGAATCGGGGGAGCAGCAGCGGGAGGAGGAGGAAAAGGAGGAGAAGGGCTGGCGGGATCCTGGTTCGTCGTCGCCGCCGTTGATGCCAGCAGGCCGCAGCTGGCAACCCAGACGAGAAACAACTATTTGTTTGATTCGTCCCTGCCCAATTTGTTCTTCAATTGTTTGGTCGCATGGTCTTCCCGTTGCTGAAGTGAGGAGGTCCGCGATGCTTCCCCGAGCTACAGACTGGAGATGTCTCAAGCGGGGCGCCGCATCACAGGAGGGCCACACGACCAGGACGACCACGCCTGGCTCTTGCCCCGGGTATTGGTGTTGTCTCTTCTTACCATCCTGGGGTGTGGAGGTTGGAGGAGAAGGAGGATGAGGACAGGGTAGGAGGGAGGAGGGGAGGAGAGGAGGGGGAGGAAAGAGGAGAATCGAGCCCTATGCGTGTGGGCGTTGTTGCAAGGTTTTGGGCCTCCCAGAGCCACATCATCGGCATGGCTGAACTCCCGTGCGAAATTATGGCCAGAGAGCACCTCAGAAGGAGGCAGGGGGAGGGAGGACGGATGGGAGGACGGTCATCTAGGCTTCCAGCGTCTTAAAGAACATCGAGACCGACCTGTTTTTCTTTGGGGGTCGATGGCAATCGCAGCGCGGCGCCGGACAAACCTGGTCCCTGAGGGGGTCCGAGCGCCCTCGGGATGATCGAGGATCCGAGGTTTGAGTACGTTCTTGGGCCTCCAAGGGTGTCCGCAGTTCGATCGGTTCGTCTGCGCCTTCGTCGAGCGGTCGGCGCTGCTGCAAGGCCGTGAGGCCGTGACCGCTCAGGGCTGAGCGGTCCACGCGGTGCCAGAGACCAGCGCGCAGGTCGTCACGACACGATCTGGCCGTCTCTCGCGGGCCCCGCGCGGGGGGGGGGCGGGAGGCCACGGGTGTCCGCGGCTCGGTCGCTGCAGCTGCGTCGCAGTCGGTTGCGCTCGGTGATCTCGTCTCGGTCGGCTGTTGTGTCGTTGTTGCGTCGCTGCGCCCCTCCAGGCTGCTTGCGGCCTGTCGGTTTCGGTCGGTTCCAGCTTCGTAATCGGTCCGGTCGGTCTTCGGTTGTGCCGTCGCCGTGGACGGCCTTGGCCGCACTCCCTTCTGTTTCGAGTTCCCTCCTCTGGCGAACACCTCCAGGAGCAGTCTGGGGGTGGACGAGGGGGGGCAGGGGCCACCATGAAGCACAGGGGTCCTGGGGGAAACTGTCCCCTGGTGTGTTGCACCGTTTTCGAGCTCCTGGGGCGTCTCCGAAGCCCCGGAGCCGTTGAGAGCAGTTCGAAGGGACACGGCGCGCTTGGGAGCCGTTGCCCTCAGGGGCCCATTTCCTCAATGCCAAACGAGGCTCGACGAAAGCTATACATATCCACTGCCCCCTGGCTGGACCCTTCCTGGGCCTAGGAGCTGTGTATAGGTCCTCATGGCCAAGCTTGGGAGCAGTGGATATGTATAGAGTTGTCGCCCTAGAGGCTGGCGAGGTTTGGTCGGATTTTCAGGGCTCCTGGGGGGCTCTTACGGGGTTGAGTTCAGGGTTTGTATGAGCCCCCTTCCCTTCTTTACCCTGCTCAGGATGCAAGATCATGGGAGGTAGCTTTCAGCGTCGGCCCTGGTAGTCCCTTGGTGGTGCCACGTACTCTGGCCTAGCCCGGCTCAGTCTGGGTGTGTCGAGCAGCACCCAAATCTGGGCCAGTCGGTTTGATTACGCGACACCGTTTGGAAAACATGGGTCCAATCGCTGTTGGGGTACCGGGCACCCACGTTGGAGCTCACTTGGCTGCAGACATCTTTCAATTTCTGAACCCCACCTGGCTGGTCGATCAGACATCTGACCTGCAAGGGTTGGGTTCACAGGTGGTTTCCTATTGAGCGCGTCCACGGATGCCTCCCATTAGGATGCAATTCTTGGGAGGTTAAATTCACCATTGGCGCTGGTGTATCCGTGGTCGACAACCAGCGTAGTCCGAAATATTCCCGTTCAATTTTGTTTATATATCGTTTCGTACCGACTTCATCGGGTTTAATCATGGGTTGATTCGGGGCTGATTTGGCTTGATGTTTTCTTTTCGGATAACATATCCTTCAATCGTTGTGACGAAGGCCTCCCAGGAGGTTCTTCCTAACCACCTACGTGCGGTTGCCTATTGATCGCGTTTCCAGATGCTTCCCAGAAGTTTACTCCTTGTCCCCACGCGGCCGCCCGATGAGCCCAAGTTTGCAGGCCACGGCCATGCGCGACTCTGAGCACGAGGCCTTCCTGAAGCTCAAGTCCGACAGGAGCTCTGGACTCGTGGAACGAAGTCTCGAGGTTTGAGGTGTTCGAGCGTTTTCGTCGGTTCCTAGCGCTGGTCAAGACTCGATAGAACCGGCGTGGCGGCATCGGTCACCCCTCGGGAGCCTCGAGACGGGGGTCAACGCAAACGGGGGTCAGCCAGGGCGCCAGATCCTGCAGGATCCTGCGAAGACCCCCTCTGGCCGACCCGGGTTAGGGAGCCGCTCGTGGCCGCGAGGCGGCCGCACATATTGGCTGACCCGGGTTTGCGAAGACTCGCGTTGCAGTTTTTTTTTTCCTGCATTGCAGTTTTTGGTTTCCTGCTGACCCGGGTCTGGATTGACCCGGGTCAGAGGATCCCCGAACCCCAAGGGGCGCGAAGAAGGTCGCCCTACGTGCATGGCGGCGTGGGCTGGAGACGCGCCCTTCTCCACGGCGGCGGCGCGAGGGCACGCAGATCACCACGCGATGCGCGAAATTCGTTGTCGTCGTCGTTTTCGTCGTCTCTCGTCCTCTTCCTCGTCGTCGTCGTCCGTCGTCGTCGTCGTCTTCGTCGTCGCCGTCATCCTCGTCGTCCCGCTAGTCTTTGTCGAAACCGAGCAGGAAAGGATGGGTAACCGTTTCGTCGTCGTCGTCGTCGTCGTCGTCCCGTTTCGTCGTCGTTCGTCGTCCGTCGTCGTCGTCGCGGTCGTCGCCGTTGCCGTCGTCCGTCGTCGTCCTCGTCGTCCTCGTCATCCTCGTCATCCTCGTCGTCCTGTTAGTCGTCGTCGAAACCGATGAGGAAATAATGGGTAACCGTTTCGTCGTCGTCGTCATCGTCGTCGTCCCGTTTCGTCGTCGCTCGTAAGGATGGGTAACCGTCTCCAGGGTACTCTTTCATCCGTGCCTATTCGGTCTATCCTTAACCACCCTCGTTGGAGGCGCCCCGCTCGAAAGAGCTTCGACACGGGCGTCCAATGCCTTTGCATCCTTACCGCGCGCCATTATTGCCAGTCTTGATAGTAGGTGACATAGTTGTCCCCTCCTCTCTCGTCCCTTGCTTCCTGCGCTGCTCTCCTGCGCCAGCCCCATGCCTCCTCCTTCTGTTTCTGCCCTGGGGGAGGGAGCGGGACAGGGTGCAATAGGAGTGAGGACGGGCGGGATGGGAAGGAGACGGGGGAGCAGAAGGAGGAGGAGAAGGAGGAGGCTTCAGATCCTCCTCCCACCCCTGTTGAGCAAGAGGAGGAGGAGGAGGAGGAGGAGGAGGAGGAGGAGGAGGAGGAGGAAGACGAGGCTTCAGATCCTTTTCCCAGCCCCGTCGAGGAGAAGGATGGGGAGGAGGAGGAGGAGGAGGAGGCGGAGAAGAAGAGGAGGGAGGAGGAGGAGGAGGAGGGAGGAGGAGGAGGAGGAGGGGAGAAGGGGGCGGAGACGAGGACGGTAGGTTCCAGGGGGGGAGGGACAGAGGAGGAGGAGGAGGGATGAGTTGAGTGGGAGGAGAAGGAGGAGGAGGAGGAGGAGGAGGAGGAGGAAGAGGGATGAGGAGGGTGGGAGGTGGAGGAGGAGGAGGCGGAGGAGGAGGAGGAGGAGGAGGAGGAGGATAAGGAGGAGGAGGAGGAGGAGGAGGAGGAGGAGGAGGGGCAGGAGGAGGAGGAGCTAGGAGGAGAATGAGGATGCGGAAGAAGAGGAGGATCAGGAACCTTACCCCTCCCCTCGAGGAAGAGGGGGAGGCTTTGGACAGGGTGGAAGGAGGGATGGAGGGAGGGTGGAGAGATGGGAAGCCGCCCCCCGAGTATTCCTCCGCCTCCTGGGTCGGGTGCGCGGCCCTTTCTCTGCGGGCGCAGCGGTCACCGTCTCTCGCGTCACTCCCACTCTCATTCCCTCTCAATCCTCGCCTCCCTGTCAACTCCCCCCCGTCTCCATCCTTTCACCCTTCTGGCCAAAGCTCTCTCCTTCCCGCCCTCTCTCCTTCTCCCCTCTCCGCCTCTTTCCTCTCCTGGTCTCCTTCCATCTTCTCATCGTTGCTTCTCCCCGTTCCTATCCTCATCGGCTATGACACGCTTCCGCGGATAGAGAACATCAGAGCCATGGGAAGGGAAGGGCAGGACAGATCGGATGTCAAATGAGGTGCGAGCGCACCTAGCTTGCCTTGCCCCGTCTCCCTCCCTGTATCCTTCGTCTGGAAGCCTCCGAATACATTCCTCTTCCCCCTCCTCACCCCTCTGCTGAGGAGCTCTACCTGCCCCTCCTCCCCCACGCACGAAGGAGGAAGAGGAGGAGGAGGAGGAGACGCGAAACGGAGGAGAACAACGTAGAAGGAAGGAGGAGACAACGGGGGGAGGAGGACAAGGAAAGGTGAAGGGGGGAAGGTAAGGAGTAGGGGGGATGATGAGGAGGACGAGGAGGGGGAGGAGCACGGGATGCCTCCATCGACACGTCCGGATTCCTCAAACAACAGGGAGAAACCTCCATACGTTTCACTAAAGTTCTTGAACCTCCTCCATCCCCTTGCCCCCTCGTCGTCCCGCCTCCCCCCTCCCTGCGCCTGCCTTCGCCTCCTCCCCCCTCAACCTCCTCCACCTCCTCCTCCCCCATCTCCTCCCCTCTCCTCCTCCTCCTCCTCCTCCTCCTCCTCCTCCTCCTCCTCCTCCTCCTCCTCCTCCTCCTCCTCCTCCTCCTCCTCCTCCTCGTCCTCCTCGTCCTCGTCCTCCTCCTCCTCCTCCCCCTCCAAAACGTTCCAAATCAATTCGCTCAAAATTGTCCCGTGGCGTCTGGGCCACCGAAGGATGAAAGGGCGGGCGTCCATGACGTACCCGCCAAGCTGGAGCCCGTTTCGAGTGCCATACCGATCGACTTCAAGGGTGTGTCCACTCCGAGTGCCACTCCTGAGTCGGCGGTCTTGCCGATCAGGCCTGCCGCACGGCCGCCTGCCTTTGCTCCCGTCGGTGCTCGGGTCACGGGGCAGGGGTCGGGCGGCACTGCTGCTGGAAGCACCTGGCCTCCGCTTGGAGTGGGGGCTGACATGAACTCCGAGGCTCATCTTGTGGAGGTCGACGAGGTCCACGACAGTTTGTGCAGTCTCACTGGCCGAGGCGATGCCAGTGCTGAAAGTCAAAGGCAAGGTGACAAACCGCACCCAGCTAGCACAGCCCATGGCGAAGCTAGCGGGGTGATGGCCGTGAGCCGAACCCACGGTGAAGCTCCTGACGCCACTCAGGCGGTGGTAAGTAGCCCAGTTGTTCGGAACATATTTGAGGGCTGCTTTCTATATGCGGCTGCGCGCCGCGAGCTGGCCTCAGGAGCAACCGCTGCTGGTTCGTTGACTGGTACTTCTGGGTCCACCTCTGGAACCACTGACAGCCTGCGGCAAAACAACGAACCGAAGACGGTCCAGACAGCCCATGGCGAGTCTGACCGCAAAGACGGCGCGTGCTGGGCAGCATGAGGGTCCAAGTCAGCGGTAATCTGAAGACAGAAGTGCCAGGTAAGCGACGCCGTGGCCGCTCTCGTCTCCACCAAATCCTTGTCGGTTTGCGCGGTACCGTGCACAAGGTCGGCTACGCGGTCGGGACGCGCAGCCACGGGGAGGTCTTCGGGGCGCTCGTTGCCTGGGAACTCCCACTGGAGGGAGGTGTCGACATGACCTTCCATCCGCTTGGCGAGTGGCAACATTTCGCACGTGTCTGACTTGTTGGTGTTTCCCCCATGCTCGTTACCTTGGTGAGTGACTTGTCTGGGTTGTGGGTCGCACGAAGGAGGACGTCTACGCCCTCCCCGCTACTGGCTTCGCCTGCGGCTCCGTGTTGCCCTCCTACTTCTTGCTGGACGGGATCTTCCTTGATTCGTCCTTCCTCCACACTTTCTTCCACCTTGCCCTCTCCGCCATCGTGGCGCGAGTCGCGAGGGCGCCTCGGCCTAGTCCGTCGGGCGCGCGCCAGCGCGGCTGGCAGGAGACGCGCGAGAGGCGCTGCGCTCTTCCTCCTCCTCCTCCTCCTCCTCCTCCTCCTCATCCTCCTCCTTTTCCTCCTCCTACTCCTCGTCCTCGTCCTCCTCTTCCTCCTGTTTCCTGTTTCCTGATGGCATGAGAGTGCTCCGCCTCTTCATCCTCGTCCTCATCCTCCTCCCTTCCCTCTTCCCCTCGCCCAAGGCCTCCCCCTCCCTCGTCGTCGTCCCTCCTCCCGCCTTCCTCCACCTTCCTCCGTCTCCACCCCCCAGGCCACTGCCCGCCCCCACCCCTCCAGCGCGCGCGCGCGCGAGGGGGGGGGGGGCGACGAGAAATTGAAAGGGAGAAGGAGAAGCATAACGAGGAGGAGGAGGAGGAGGAGGAGGAGGAGGAGGAGGATAAACAGTCAGAAGGAAGGAGGATGACTAGACGCTGCGACCATCCGGTCAACGCCCGCGAAACGTGCGAAGAAGAGGCGGAGGACACGTTTTTGGGACGAGGGGCGACGGGGGGAGGCGAAAGCGGGCGGAGAGGGGTGGAAGGACGGGACGGGCGGAAAAAGGGCGGAATGGGGGGCTGGGGGGGCGGAGGGTGCTGCAGGAGGAGGAGGAGGAGGAGGAGGAGGAGGAGGAGGAGGAGGAAGAGGACCAGGAGGAGGAGAAGGAGGAGGAGGAGGAGGAATACTAGAATGGAACAAGAATAGAAGGAGAAGGGGGAGGAGGATGAGGAGGAGGAGGACGAGGACGGCGACGACGACGACGACGAGGAGGAGGTTCGACCTGCCCCCCACCCCCCACGTTGACGAGGCGACGACGACGACGACAACAACGACAACGACGACGACGACGACGACGACGACGACGACGGCGACGGCGACGGCAGCGGCGGCGGCGGCGGCGACGGCTGCGGCGGCGGCGGCGACCCCCTGTCGGCGCCCAGGGGTCCCTGGAGGTCCTCCGTGGCGCCCCAGAGGAGGCCCATTGAGACCCTGGCGTTGGATGCTTCCAACAGAAAACGACGCGATGTTGCCCTACTTCCTGCCGCGGGACCCTGGAACGCAGGCCTTTGAATGATGTTTCGCCCAGCGTGCGAGCATGTTGCCACTTGGCTATGTCGACCTCGACATCCTAATCATCCTTCACATTGTGTCTCGAATTGCTGCATCTATTGTGTAAGCACAGTGGCTCCTGCAGTAATGAGCAAGATGTCGTCGCGATACTGGGCGTACTCCAAAATCCCGAAATGCGACATGACATATGGGTTAATAGCGAAATATATTTCCACCACGTGGTATAGTACACATCACATAATTATCCAGAGTGTCGCTGCCCAGTGCTGGACCCCACAGCGGCGATCCAGACAGCGTCTGGGAAAATTCGCAATGCACATGTTCGTGAGACAACAAACAAGAGGGCATCTTTCAATACCACCCTTTCACGGTCCATGAACGTCGCTCGAACGGTTTCCACGATGTTAGGGTGGTCGCCATTCAAGTAAACATCTTGGACGTCCAGTTCGGTGAAGCCAACGCGCTCCCCATAGTTTTCGGACGTGATCTTTTGCACGAGCTCGTCAGAGTTACGTACTGTATGTGTCCACTGCACGGCCTGCTGTCGAAAATACACGCATAAAGGAATAATGGATGAGGCTGGCAGAGGTCTGCCCAACAGGCTTGTGGGATTTGATTTTGAAGAAGACCGCCGACGATAAAACTTTGCATCGTGACAGCCCTCTCCGTAGGAAGGCGTTGAGACCGTCCTCGGCCATCACACGGGCAACTTCCCTGCAATGGCGAAGGTACGCCGACATGAGTGGTGCTAAAGTTTTCACGGGGTCGCACACGTAATGGCCATCATCAGACTTGTTTCGAAGAAGCTGTTTCAGGTCACGCATTTGAATCAAGGCACATCCTCAATCTTTGTTAGTGGGGCCTGTAACGTCCGGGTTTTTGGCGAGCCATGTTGCAGCCCACTGGGTAGCAACATTATATTTCCCCACTTTCTCCTACCGTGCTGCGCTTTGGTTGAATCCTGGAGAGTTGTAGTGATACTTCGTGCAAGGTCACTACATGATGCTTCGATGTTCGATCTCTGCCCCCCCTACTTGAATGTAATTGCAATTGCTGACTCTGTATTCCCCCGACCAAGGCCGGCGTCCTTGGCCAAGTAGTGCGCGCCAGCGGATACCATTGCAGAGGTTTTTATCCGCAGCGCTGTACCGAAGTCTGGGGGACGTCCCTCTGTGAAACATGTGTTCACGATTGCAATCTCCAAGGCGCAACGACATTGGCCATGGAGAACTGCCTGGTCGCGGATGCTCCACTCGGCGACCGCATCCGTGGATATACACGTGGTGTGCTAAGAGATTTGGCCTCATGATCTTGCTCGGCTCCACTGTGTCCATCCCTTCGCAAAGGTTCCAGAAGGCTTTGAGGACTTGACTTTCCGTCCCCCTTTGCCTCCTTTCGTCGCTCCTTTTTGGTACGCTCCATTCCGGTCTTTGTATTCCTTTTCAAGTCTTTCTTTTTGTTGGTACGTTCTATTATTTTGTTTTGGCTTTGCCCTTCGATTGGCTCTTGCACTTGCCTTTGCCGATGCCCTTGTTCGTGTCCTCGCGCCCCTGGCTCTCGCCAGGGGCCTGGCCGTTTCCCGGCCTGATTTTTCTTGCAGCACGTTGTTATGTGTGTTTTGTTCATCTATTCTACAGCTTTGTCGCTGGTCAAATTGATTTAATCGACCTCGTACTTCGATGTGTTGGGATCTTGTATTGCGCCTCGACCTTGGTCTTTACCTTTTCCTTTGCCGCCCTTTCCTTTCGAAAGCTCCTCTTTGAAAACTTGCCGCATCTGTTCTTTGATAATTTCATGTGGATTCAAAGATGCCGCTTTTGTCAGCACTGCCTTCTGTTTTTTTTTTTGTTTTACCTAACAGCGAAGACTGATAGGTTTCTAGTGGGGTCAAAAGAGAGCATCATGACTCCCCAGGGGGGTCTGGGCAGATCCCGGACGGGTGCCGCGGAAAACCGGGGACTCCTTTTTTGCATTGCCAGGAGCCACATTTTGAATGCCCGGAGCTAACAGAACACCATTCCCAGGCCACATTTTCAATGCCTGGAGCCAAGTGTAAACCACGTCGTGTTCTTCGTGCTCCCAGAACACCATTCCCAGGCCACATCTTGAATGCCCGGAGCCAACTGTAGGCCACTTCGTGTTCTTCGTGTTCCCAGAACACAATTCCCAGGCCACATTTTGAATGCCCGGAGCCAATTGTAAGCCACTTCGTGTTCTTCGTGTTCCCAGAACACAATTCCCAGGCCACATTTTGAATGCCCGGAGCCAACTGTAGGCCAGTTCGTGTTCTTCGTGTTCCCAGAACATTATTTTTGCATCATCTTTTGATTGCCCGGAGCCAACTGTGAGCCACTTTGAGATCTGCGTGTTCCCAGAACACCAGTCCGATGCCATATTTTGAATGCCCGAGCTGAGGCAGGCTGAGGCCGAGGCAGGCTGAGGCCGAGGCAGGCTGAGGCCGAGGCAGGCTGAGGCTGAGGCTGAGGCACGCCGAGGCAGGCTGAGGCTGAGGCTGAGGCAGGCTGAGGCTCAGGCAGGCTGAGGCTGAGGCTGACGCAGGCTGAGGCCGAGGCAGGCTGAGGCTGAGGCAGGCTGAGGCTGAGGCAGGCTGAGGCTGAGGCTGAGGCTGAGGCTGAGGCTGCAGGCTGAGGCTGAGGAGGCTGAGGCTGAGGCTGAGGCTGGCAGGCTGAGGCTGAGGCTGAGGCCGAGGCTGAGGCAAGGCGAGGCAGGCTGAGGCTGAGGCTGAGGCAGGCTGAGGCTGAAGCTGAGGCTGCTGGCTGAGGCTGAGGCAACCTGCGGCTGAGGCAGGCTGAGGCTGCGGCTGAGGCTGAGGCTGAGGCTGAAACTGAGGCAGGCTGAGGCTGAGGCTGAGGCTGACGCAGGCTGAGGCCGAGGCGGGCTGAGGCTGAGGCCGAGGCAGGCTGAGGCTGATGCTTGAGGCTGAGACAGGCTGAGGCTGAGGCTGAGGCAGGCTGAGGCTGAGGCAGGCTGAGGCTGAGGCCGAGGCAGGCTCAGGCCGAGACAGGCTGAGGCTGAAGCTGAGGCTGAGGATGAGGCCGAGGCAGGCCGAAGCTGAGACAAGGTGAGGCTGAATGGGGGGGGGGGAAGGGAGGGGGAGGGGGGGGGAGGAGGGGAGGCTGAGGCAGGCTGAGGCCGAGGCAGGCTGAGGCCTAGGCATGGTGAGGCTGACGCTGAGGCAAGCCGAGGCAGGCTGAGGTTGAGGCTGAGGCTGAGGCAGGCTGAGGCTGAGGCAGGCTGAGGCTGAGGCAGGCTGAGGCTGAGGCAGGCTGAGGCTGAGGCTGAGAGGCTGAGGCTGAAAGGCTGAGGCTGAGGCCGAGGCAGGCTGAGGTTGAGGCTGAGGCAAGCCGAGGCAGGCTGAGGCTGAGGCTGAAACTGAGGCAGGCTGAGGCTTCCGGAGGAATACATAGGAATCCTTAGGAATTCTTTGGAATCCCTAGGAATCCTTAGGAATCCGTAGGCATAGTTAAGCATCCTCAGGAATCCTTAGGATTCCTCAGGAATCTTTAGGAATCCCTAGGAATCCTCAGGAATCAGAGTTCCTAAAGGTTTCCTAAGGATTCCTATGGATTCTGAAGGATGCCTAAGGATGCCTTCGGAATCCATAGGAATCCTTAGGATTCCATTGGATCCTAAGGCCGTTGCCACTGCGACTGTCATTGCGAATGCGACTGCGACTGCGAGAACAGCATAATTCTACAACTGGATTCTCACCTGAATCTTAAGGGGAATGCTTCCAGATATGCTTATACACATCGCTGTTAGGTTGCTTTGCTGGGATAATTCTCCTTTGCCTCTCGATCCTGCTGAGATTTCTGGCGTGTGCGGGCTCGTTCAAACATGGACTTGTACAGCGTCTTGGCCATTGCCTCGGTCAATTTGCCTCTATCTGCAAAGAGGTCGCAGGGTATGTTGAGGCCCAAGAGTAAAATACGTCCACGGCTGCCTTGTCTGACGTGCCCACCATGCGCAAGAAAGTGTTGTAGTCGATCTCCCGCTGGAGACTGTTGACGCAAGAGTTGGCCATGCCCAGCTCGGCCTGTGTTCCCAACTCCTGGAGCTTGAAGTGCATAATCCTCTTCACATCGCGGTAAGAAGAGCGTCTTTTCATAATGATCCAAATGTGTTCCTCATCCTCGTTGTATCGGTGCTCTAACTCGCTCATGGTTTCATTGACTTCGAAAGGTTTTGTGTTCGCTGGGCTTTGTTCCTGCTTTGTCAGGGCGACGTTTGCTTCCAATAATTTCAACGACTCCAGTGCCTTCAAGTACAAATCAAGTTTCTCCGCGAGCCCGGCCGACCTGAGTTTGCATTGACCCGGGTCCGTAGGTCCTTGTTAAGTTTTCCACAGCCTGGCTCCCCAGAGAGTTGAACTCCTTCCTTTGGACCTGGTTCTCACCCCGTGAGCAGTGCTCGACGGCCCCGGGGCCCGGCGAGGGCCCCCCGCAGGCCACAGACCGACAAAAGCCCTCCGCCGTGATTGTCCACAGCGAGAGGATGTGAACAGTCGTCGTCCTCGTCCTCGTCCTCGTCCTCGTCGTCTGGCACGACCGCGGCGGCGGCGGCGACCCGCGCGCGGCCTCGCAGCGACACCAACGTCAGCGCCATTGCCGCCGCCGTCGCCGCGCTGGAGAAGGGCATGGCCGGGCCCGCGCCTCGGCGCGCCGTGGCGGGCGGGCTCTGCCGGCCAGAGGGGCAGCGCTTGCTCCCGTGTGCCTCCCTGCGCGGGGGAAGTTCCAAGCCTCCTGGATGGCGTGTCGGAGTAGACGTGGTCGGAGGATCGCGCCGCGATGCGGCTCGATGTGCGGTGCAGTTTTCTCCACGCCGACGTCGCCAGTGTATCGCCGATGTATCGGGGGATGCGGCGAGACCCTCCGACCCCATCTACTCTGACTCCATCTAGGAGGCCTCCACAGCCGGGTCCTAAAAGAACCGGGGTCCTGAAGTTTTTCGCCTGTTTTGGTTTTCCAGGGCCCTCCGTGGGCCCTGGGACTGTCAGACAACGACTCAGGATGCAGATTTCGTCTTGGGGGGAGTTCCAGGGGTCCAGGACCCGTTTCCCTCAAGACCCGTTCCCCCCATGCAGAATTTCGATGGGCACGAACGAAAAGCGTAATCCACAATCCGCATTAAGTGTGCAATGTTGCCCCTCTGTGCCATTTACCTCGTCACTTACCTCCGTCTGCATTTCCTCATTCTCTTCGCCCTGTTCTCCCCCCTCAGGTTCGACTTCCCGCTCTTCGTCCACTTCGTTCTCCATCTTTCCGCCCCTTTTCTTTCAACCTCTCTGCCGTCCAATCACATCGCGTCGTCCGCCGCCGTTCTGCTCAAACCATCCCGCGCCCGCGGGATCGCCCGCGAGCAACGGTGCAGTGGGGCCGCTCGCGGCCTCACGCGCGCTGGCGCGATCGTCTTGCATTGGGCGATGCAGGCGGAAACACATGGGGTTGCGCGGCAGGCTGGTGGGCCAGCCGCAGTGGCGGCTGGTCTGGCTGGGAGGACGGCCGTGATTGGTCAGCGTGGGGCACGAGAGAGTGGCGACAAGACGGGAACACCCCAATGGGGGGCGCTAAGTGGCGCGACGTCCCTGTTGCCGCATCAGCGGCGGCGGTCGCACACGAACGGCCGTGTCCCTTCGCCGCGGTTGGCGTCGTGAGCCCCCGCGCCCCTGGTCTCGGCATGCCCGAATTCGATACTTTCGCGCGGGCTGCCCTCCGGAACACGCCAGAATCTGGGGATTTTTGCCCGGAGAGGGGCCGGGATTCCAAGCCGCGCGCGCGGCGCCGGGACTTCTGGCCACCGCGGCAGCGGCGGCGCGGGGGCCCCGGGATTGGGAAAAGTCTGACGTCGATGATTTCTTGAATTATGAAGAGAGGCTCGGCGCATCGTTTAAGCAACGCAACCAGGCGTTGAAATATGGGCGAGGCACCAAAGAAAACCCAAGAGGGCCGTTCGAGTCAGAGGCCAAGCGGTTCGACGACGAGGAGCCCACCGTGGTCTATGTTTGCGAACACGGTGAGGGAACGAGCTTGTCTTTCAAGAGCGACGAGGAAGTCCCGAGGCGGTGGCAAGGGATGGCGGTGATGCTCGGGGAAGAAGATATCAGGGAGATTGCGGGGGGGGCCCGCAGCAGCGGGGCCCTGACCGGTGGTTCTTTGGAAATACGGCCAAACAGCTACGACCACATGCGCCGGAAAATCTCGCGCGCCGCAGTTTGCGGGGCAGCAGGTGAAAGCGAAGCTGCAACTGTAGGATTTCGCGGCGCGCCGCGACGACGGGACCGGCGTCCGCCTGCGCACGCGCTGGGGCGACAGGAAGGTCGCAGCTCTGGCCCTCGTGCCCCGCGCGGACACGGCGAAGCCGTCGGCCGCGTGCATGGGCGGGAGCGACGGGCGAGGAACGTTTCGCCGTTGCAAGACCCCGGGCGCGGAGCGCACGTTCCGCTTCGACCCCGCTAGAGAAAAGCGGGGGCCAGCGCCCCGTCGCGGAGGCGGCGGGGCGCGCGGGGAGGCAGACCTGGAAACGGCCGCGGATGCCAATGCGTCTGCCCTGCCGGCGCCTTTCTCACACAGCCATCCCCACCCGCGCTCCAGTGGCTTTTCTCCTTGCGCCAATCTCCTGCCCCCACTTCTGAATTAGCTCATTTTGTCTACCCCCCCTCCTCCATCCTCTACCCGTCCGCTCCTCCCCCCTCCCCCCGCCCTGCCAGTTCCTCCGTTCCCCCTTCTCTCCTCTTCCTCAGTGAAAGCGCTTCGCGACAACAACGACGACGACGACGAGGTCGACGGCCACGACGACAGTGGTTCGTTTTAGATTCCAAGACAGCATGGCGACTTGTCAATTGTGGTCACCGCAGAACTCCCCAACCGCGTCGGCCTCTTTTAAGAGCCACAGAAATATTGAATTCTGTTTTTGGAACTACATGTCGACTTTTCCACGGTGGACAATACATAAGTCACCAACGCGCTCGCGGGTGACAGGCGTCACCGTCGGCCCCCTTGAAAGGGCAACAGACATGTTTGAATTCAGTCTTTGGAACTACATGTCGACATTTCTATGGTGGACAATACATAAGTCCCCAACGCGCCTGCGGGTGGCGCGCGTCGCCGCCGGCACCCCTAAAGAGCAGCAGAATTATTGCAATCAGTTTCTGGGATTACACGTCGACTTTTCTATTGTGGACAATGCACGAACCCCCAACGCGTCGGCCTCCTTACAGAGCCGCAGATTTTTTTGATTCAGCTTTTGAAAGTACATGTCGACCTTTCTATGGTGGACATTACATAAGTCCCCATCGCGCTCGCAGGTGACGCGCGTCACCTTCGGCCTCCTTGCAGAGCCGCAGATTTTTTTGATTCAGTTTTTGGAATTGCACGTCGACTTCTCTACGGTGGACAATCCATATGTTCCCAACGCGCTCGCGGGTGGCACGCGTCACCGTCGGCCTCCTTCAAGAGCCGCGTAATGTTCAAATTCAGTTTTTGAAATTACTTGTGTCCTTCTCTATTGCGGGCAACGCATAAGTCCCCAACGCGCTCGCGGGTGACGCGCGCCATCGTCGGCCCCCTTAAAGGGCCGCAGACTTTTTGAACTCAGCGCCTGGAAGTACACGTCAACTTCTCCATTGTGCCCAGGAGAGAGAGAGAGAGAGAGAGAGGGAGAGAGGAAGAGAGAGCGAGAGAGAGAGAGAGAGAGAGAGAGAGAGAGAGAGA